ATATATATACATTTATATATTTACATAATTATTATTTTATATATATATATATATGTATGTATGTATGTATATATGTATAATTATTTTACATATATATAATATAAGGGTTAAAATAAACCAATAAACCCTTCTAAAGCTTGTAAAAAAAAGTGTCCAAATCTATATTTTTTACATAATTTTCATTTGTTTATAAAAGATTATTGATTTATCATGAAATTGCAAGTAGTAATGTAGATAATCTCACAATAAGTTCAAATATTCAAAAAACAACGTGATTAGAGAGATATGATTCAGTTTATGATGATACAGTATGTATTTGCAAAAAATATCTATTAAATGAATCATTATAAGATCGGTCTTTTAATATAGCACGTTCTCACAGAATTCCATAACTTATATATCATTTATTACAACAACAAAACTCAAAAAGCAAAATTTTCCAAAAAATAAATTTCAATGTTTTAAATTATAAAAAATTGTAATATTAATTTTTAAATGCAAATTTGTTGCAAGAAATAATTATAGAGGAATCAGATTACTATCAGGATTATATTGATGAAGAATGTTAAAATAATTACTGATTATATAGGAATAAAAATATGTAATTTTAAATGTTTTTTTCTTTTTTCTATATTTTTCTACTCATCTTCCGCAAGCAATTAAAAAATAACAATTTTTTAATTATGATAATTGTTTAATTATGTAACAAATAAGCGTTATGTGGTTTTATAATTCCGTATAATATGGATTTGAAACATAAATCTTAGAAAAAATCCTAGTATGAATTTTAATTATAATATAAATAATTACTGTTTAAATATATTTGTAAATGCCGCAAATTATGTCTTTCAAAACGCTTACCACCAGTTTTTCAAAAAAGTTACGGCAATTTGATATTATTCACTGAAGCTGTTTATAAAATTATAAAATTAACAGAACAATTATTTAATTACAATTAATAAATAACAATTAATTAATTACAATGAAGATTTTTTACTGAATCTCAGTTTCAACGGTGCAATCAACAACGTATGTATATTTATGTTAGACTAAGCACTTTGAAATTAAGTTGACAGAGAAATTGTGCAACAAAGAGATAAGCTATTGTTACTTTTGTCTTGTCCTCCGAGACAATTAATTTTATAATGTATATATCATTTTAAATAATTTAATGTATGTACATACGGTATTATTTTATAATAGAATAATAATAATAATTAAATTTCAAGGCTAATGAGAATCAGCGCGGAAGGAGTTGCGCACAGTTATTGATAAGTAAAAAGGATACACGAAACCACACGGACGTATTGTAATCCAAAAATTTTTCCAAAGCTTCTGAATTATGTTGAGTGCTCCATTCGAGAATCCACTACAGTTGTGGAAATCTGAGAGTGACTCATTCAGGACGGACCGCTTAATGTTTTTGACCGAATTAAACGGAATATAATTGTTATATTGCTGAGGATGATTACAAAGCGAGTCGAAATGTTTAAGATTTTGAAATAAAGAAGACATTAATATTATGAAGGAGTAATATTTACTTATCAATAATTGCGCAACTCCTTCCGCGCTGACTCTCATTAGCCTTGAAACTTATTTATTATTATTATTTTAAATATTGAGTCTGATTTAATCATTATATTTATTATAACAGAATATTTCATAATAGAGAATTTATATACATTATAAATTATAAAAAGAAAGAATAAATTTTAATTATTAAATCATATATATTATATTATTTGTTTGATTAGATTCCATAAAAAACTGTTTTTTTTTTAGCGCTGAATATAATTTCGATACTATATATAGTATAAGTTTATACATAAAATAGATAGAATAAATATTAAATTAATAAATATGTAATTAAAATTTAATGTATAACTTTGTATAAATAAAAATGAAATAATAGTAAAAAAAGAATAGACAATTGTTTAGAAATAAAATTAACTTTTGTAATTAATATTATATGTATTTTTATATTATATTACATTTTACATTATAATATAATATTACATTATATTTAATAAATTCCAATACATAAATACATAAAAATATTATTGATTGTTGAAAATGAATCTTTGCACTTCTAAAATAAGCATATATATAATCAAATAACGAAAAAAGATATCAATTAAAAGAAAATGCAATGTAACTAAAAAATGTTAATCAATTATTCTATTGAAAAATTTAGTTTAAAATTTTTGACAAAACTGTCACTAGACATACAATGTTATTAAACAAGAATATCTCCCACATAAATTTTTGTAAGATCTTTTATTTGATCTGTATAAAGCTCAATTAATTTTTAAATTTGTATCTAAAACAATTTTTAATTTTGTGCACTTTTTCTATCACGGCGGATGCTCATAGTATTTCATTAGAGGCTACGGTCCACTTGATGCTACAAATGTTCAAAACATTTTTTTATTGGTCAGTTAATAAAATTCTTTTTTCCGATTGATCAATCGAAAGTTTCGAAGCATTTGTAGCGTCAAATGCCGCACCCAGAGTAGTTCATATGACACGTTTCCTAACCTAACATTCAACTTTAACGAAAACAAAGTATCAGTCGATGGCACAACATACCCAAATCTTAACTTTAACTAATAATATTTCGTTTCGTAGAGCAGTGCATAAATTTCAATTGTCAGATTCGTTTGCTTCACAAAAAATGTATCGATTGGTATAAACGTGTTTTTATCAATGTCTGTGATTGATGACAAACATAAATTAATATAAATAGCATAATTTCTTCTCTTAATAACAGAACATAAGCTTAATTTTTTATAGTTCAGTACACTAGTGTGTACACTTTTTATATTTTAAGAAATAGGTATTTGAAATTTGTGACAGAAGCACAAAGGAAAATCTGGTAGTACAGTGAAGCAAGAAAAATAAACCTATTGATGTGGCAATTTAGAATACGCATTTTAGTAAATTATATCAAATTACAGTCTCAAAACTATTTGCCATCTGATTGAAACATTGCGATTTTGTAGAATTATTTCGTAAACAGCAATATGCAAGGGACAGTAATTTGACATATCTGATTAATGCAGACTGTCAATTTTACAATAGCCATAATAGTTCGATTATTGCAGTAGATATTTACTATAATTATTCAGCATTTAGCTGAGATTATCCTAAAATTATATAAATCTCAAGATGCAATTAGAAAAGGGACTGTCATCAAAGTATGCATATATTACATATGTGATTGCAGCCTATTGGTAAGTTTCAAAGTGATATAAAGTTGCTCGCATATTGTTTTATCGATTATTAATATAAATATATTTTTACAAGTTATATATATAAACTTCTGTTAAAATATACAAGAACATAATAACTGTATAATTATCTTTAAAATTAAATTATAAACAATTTCTCAGTTAAAGGTTTTTTAAATACTTTTTAATTATTTTCAGGATAGTATCAATTTTAACTGTATTCGTGAATAAAGCACTCCTGTCCAGTGATGCTGTGAATCTGAATGCTCCTTTATTTGTAACTTGGTTTCAATGTATAGTGAGTGTAGCTATCTGTATTACTTTACGCATAATATCCCAATGGTTTCCAGACTGCATTGAAATCGCAAATGGTAGTCCGTTTAAAAAAGATACTTTGAAAAAGGTATACAACTTGTTTTAAGAATATTATTGTACGGTAGTAATGTTAAGCCCGAGACACAATTGAAAAGCACGGAAATAGAAATAGGGATTAACAGATTTCAATCTATCAGAAACCATGCATATCACTTTCATATATGGTGAATAACTTGAGATCTATTATTCTCTCTTCCTATTTCCTATGCTTCTCAATTGCGTCTTGAGCTTTATTTTCATTACAAATAACTAGAAATGGATTATTTAATTTTGAGAAAAATCTTTGTGAAAGATTTTTTTTACACTTCAAATTGAGAAACATTTAATAAATTTAATAAAAAACGTAAACTGTGAATTAGAATATTTGAAAGATTGTAGCTTTAAAGATTGTAATTTTTTTCTAGTTTTTACATTTTTATGAGATTATATAAAATGTTTATATATATTTAAAATTTTTATAGGTATTGCCGTTATCAATTTTGTTTACTGCAATGATAGCAACTAATAACTTATGCTTAAAATACGTTGGGGTTGCATTTTACTACGTGGGTCGTTCGCTAACGACGGTATTTAATGTCGTATTTACTTATATTTTACTCGGTGAGAATCCTACACATACCGGCTAAACTAAATGCTAAAAAATATAAATTAACGGAAAAACTAATTAGCGAAAGTTGCAGGACAAACGACATCTTTCAAATGCATAGCATGCTGCGCAGTAATTATTATTGGGTTCTGGTTAGGGGTAGATCAGGAGCATGTAGCAGGTTCTCTATCTATTCTCGGGACACTTTTCGGCGTGCTTGGATCATTGTCGTTATCTTTGTATTCTATCCGTATGAAACAGACGCTCCCGATCGTAAATCAAGACATCTGGCTACTCTCGTATTATAACAATGTGTATAGCATTATTATCTTCATCCCGTTAATGATAATTAGCGGGGAACATACCACTGTATATAATTACGAGAAGCTTGGACATCCTCTTTTCTGGGGTGCCATGACAATCGGTGGTGTATTCGGCTTTGCCATTGGATATTTCACTGCCCTTCAGATAAAAGTTACGTCTCCTTTAACACATAATGTTAGCGGTACCGCAAAAGCATGCGCTCAAACGGTTTTAGCGACTTATTGGTTTAATGAAAAGAAATCGTTTCTCTGGTGGATAAGCAATATCGTTGTCCTTACTGCCAGTGCATTTTATGCGAGGATTAGGCAACTAGAGTTGAATAAAGAGTATAGAATCGAGACACGGCAATTTAAAGTGTAACAACGGTATTAAAATATAACAATTTTATTCAAATTTTTATATTTAAAGTGTTATTGTATGCAAATGTGTATATAGTTTTTTTTTAAATATTTTAAGAAAATATAGAGCAATGGAAGAGTATGCATAGAGTTATTCTTTACATATACATGCAAATTGCCGCAAAAGTTTAGTCAACGATTTTGCAATATATGTATATGTATATATGTATGTATGTATGTATAAATATCTCTGCGTGTACATATCAATGTATGTAAAAGTATTATAATGTCAAAGGTTTTAAATATTAAGTATATGATATTTATAGATATCAATAAGTTTTCTACAGTATAAAAAAACTTCCATTGAGCGTTCACAACGTTCATAAATATATATATATCTGACATTATTTCCTAATATCACAGCATTATATATCTCCAAAATTCTTAAAGATTGTCGATTTCCTTTTGTTTTTTAAATGCTTCTAACAAGACGTATTTGACTTAAAATCGTGATGCAATTCCATTTCCACGACTATCTGAGTGGCTCGATAACGAATCTTTCCTTTTAACAATTGCATTCACACTTCTTATTGACGAGATATCGTCATGAGATAATGACGACATTATGGAATCTAGTTGAGCTTGCAATGCAGCCTCCATCGAATGTCTTTGATTATTTTCAATCACCATGCCGTCGGTTGCAAAATAGTACCTATAAAAATGAATAAATTAATATATTGTCAATATATTATATTTTTTATCTATTTATTTAAGATTAAATTTATTATGTACCTGGGATATTCTATCGCAGCAGAAACATTTAGCGCACGTACGATAAGATTGTAGAGAATTTGGCCGTTAAGAAAAACATCGTTTGAACCTAACACTCCACGTAATCCGCATAACTTTTCATTATGATGAAAAATAATAGGGATGAACATGGACAAGTCATCGTTATCAATATTGTCTAAGAAAAAGGGAAGTCCATCCATTCTGTTTCCACGACCAAAAGGTGAACTTAGACCACTGTATCATTTATAATATGTTAATGCAAGTGACAGTCATTATCTAATAGATGTATAATATAATAAGTATAATTGATTCTTGTTACTAACGTTAAAATGCTAACATAAGTGTCTTGCCAATCCATTGCCATAATTCCAGTGTATGTTTCTCTTTTTTCTTCTAAAATTATGATTATGAAATCAATAGAAAATTATGTGCAGATCTGATAAAAGTTAACAACAGAATTATGTGTTTACACGTAAAATATAATAATCTACATCTATATGTATGCAATGTAAATACTATGCAAATTATGTTTCATATGAACGATCTGTAGATCCATGTTCTTTGTCGTTGCATTGTACTGCATTAAAATTTCTATCTCGCTCTTATATATTTTTTATTTATCAATATTAAAGTCAAATATACTAACTTAAAAATCTAATTATTTTCTTAAAACTTAATTCCTTTTTTCTATATTGTAGTATTAAATTTATAATAATTTACATATTTTACATTACTTATCGTTTACATGAAAAAATTATAAATTTAACACAAACAATATATAAATATTCCATGTAAACATAAGCTTAAAATATGCAGCATAACTCCTTTTAAGAAAAATGGTATGTGTTTTACCATATTGCAAAGATTGAGAAGATTGCAAAGATATGCTCATCAACGTTTGAGCAACAAGAGCTTGAGATTCTATAGCAGACGCATTTTCTGCCAAAATTGGAAGATTTTCCAATGCTTCGATCACCTCTTGCATAAAAGACGCGTGTGCAGGATAATAAATTGTGTGATGCTGTAATGTCGAGCTTTCTGCCATCGTTACAGTGGGTTCATAATTTGCCAACTCTTGCAGCAATTTGTCATTAAGAGTAGTATTTTGTAGAATTTTATAATTCTCAGTACTATTATATAACGCTAAAAAAAAAATGCTAAATATTAATAATTTGATATATATAGATATAGTTCGATAAAATCAAAACGAGACTGTATAGAAGTTTATCAACAACTGACAAAGTTGCAAACACAGATTATACCTTTTGCACCATAATGTGCTACAATGTCCAACATCTTTGTAAGTTCCTGCAATTGCAATCTATCGCCTGGATTTAAAGGGCCAGTGGAAAATATTTCATAATCTGTATTTTTTGATACTTCATCTGCAAGATCCTTAGATATAACGAATCCTTCTCGAGCTAGCTCGACGATAGGTTCTACGACATTGCGCCATGGCAAATTGCCAAATGTTCTTTGAGCAAACTCTAATCCTTTTAATACAGCTGGTAAACGTATTCCAACTTCAGCAAAGAAACCTATTGCATTAAGTAATATATGACTTTCCTATTATTTTACGTACATATTAAATCAATGAACAAAATTATATTTACCTGTGGTTGTATTACTGGCAAAATCAATGACAATTGGATGAGTGTAATTTTTGTAATTATATATCATTATATATCCACCTCTAGAAACAAAATTAAGATTAAAAAGAATAATAATCAAAATTAGTTAGTTAATGTCTTACCCGCCAAAACCAGTTTTATGAGGTGCTACTACAGCCATGCAAATAGTAGCTGCTACTGCAGCATCGACCGCATTGCCTAATCTTGTTAATATCTTTGTACCAATTTGAGAACAATTGGAATAATCTGTGGCAACTGCTCCATGAATGTTATGAAGACTACTCTAAAACGAGACAATTCAAATGTTAAAATATTTTACTACTGCTTGTTGTCTTTTTTTATTTTTAATATTCACCTGTGGTATACTTTCTGTGTAAAGAATTTGCAACAAGAGCATAGTAGTAATAGCAAAAGTCAATGCGATAAAGCAGACAACAATGACTTTCAATCCATTGCCGCAGAGTCTGTATTTGTAACTTCTCTCCTTTGTCAAAGGACATTCTTCTGTAAGACCTGCAAATACATTAAACTAGTATTCTTCCTTCTTATCATATTCACACACACGCACACGCGCACACACACACACACACACACACACACAAACACACACGTTTAAAATGCTATTCTAAAAATTATTTAATTTATGATGACCAATTAAGTATTAATTAAATTAGCAATATTTGTACTATTTTGTTTAAATAGAATAACTTTTTATTATTTGATACATGTAATAAATTAAGAATCACAAATCATAACTGGAAGATTAAAATTGATAACCACAAATCTTAAAGTTAGAAATGTTTTAACTAATAATTATATCGGTTGAATTAATCGTTGATCAAGTAGTACGAACGTAAGGAATGAGAAATATTTAGGCCAATGCAAAACGGATGACATTTACACTTACGTGTATTATAACTCATTTTCCTCTGTTTGTTGCTTTGTGGAATAACCTTATATGATATCACAGTAATTAATTTCTCTTAATGAAAATATATTGAGAAAATTGCAATAACGTCAATAATAAAAATTAATACACCAAACACATAAAGAAACAAACTAAAAAGAATACTGATGGGGAAAGAAAACTGGGTCTTCTGTCCTTTTTTCGAAAGTTTGATATATTCTACCGCCACCTATATAAATACGAGGAACTAAATAATAACATGGCAACGTAGAGTGGGATTTACAAAAGTTGATTATTTCACAAGACGTAAACCATGTGCGAAACTTTATATGAAGGCGGTATTCCTAGTCAGTTCTTACTTTAAGACCGTCTTAAGTAATATCTTAAGATGCTACTGGACAGTATTCATAGCTCGTTCTTATTTCAAGACTGTCTTAAGCGATACTTAAGATGCCAATATAATCTTCTGAATTGGTTTGTCTCATCTTAAGAGTATACTTAAGACAATCTTAAATATAAAAACCAACTATAAATACTGGCCTCTCATATCAATTCATGACATCTTAAGATTATATGTAAGACAGTTTTAAATATAAAATCCAATTAATATTAGTTTAAGGACATTTCCTTGAACTTTTCTTTATGAATCCATATTAAAAATACATCCTAGAAAATCGGTAGAATCATCCTCCCAACAATTAATATATTTTTCTTTACATCTTACATGCGAGGTACTAAAATTACACCTAGTCAATTCTGTTAAATTAGATACGTTTGGTTTTATGTTGTAATAATTCTCTAGAAATTCCAGAACAGATGATTTATTTTGTAAACTATTAAATAACACTCGATCTTTCCTCGGCAAGATCTTTTCCAACATAAATACCAGATGATGATGGAAACATTGAAATTCAGTTGACATGGTCGATGTAATATCCAGCCAATCTTGAATGCAAACGAATGGAGTGACGGGATATCCCGAAAATAACGCCGGATTAGTTAAAATACCCTTAGCAGACATTACTCCCTCACATCTGGATTCTTTGAATAAAAACTCTGCACTTTCTAAGCTTTTCACATCACCGTTTGCTATGAGGGGCAACTGTACATGATCTCTGAGAAGTTTAAGGTTATCCAAATCGATCGGTTCATTACGCATCTCAGGCGTCCTTGCGTGAATTGTTAGGAACGAGGCATCAGCCTTTTCCAAAGTTTGGCACAATGTTATCGTCTTACGTATATCTTTCAACAGTCGTATTTTTGCAGAAACAGTGAATGGTTTTGGAATACGATTTCTAACTTGATATACCAAATCCTTAACAAGCTCTGGTTTTTTCAATAAATCAGCCCCATAACCTTCTTGCATGGCCCAACGCTGTGGGCAGCCACAGTTTAGGTCTACACCATTGCAATATCTGTTAATTAAAAGAATACAAAAATATGTAAGAAAGACAAGAACCATATCATCAAAATCACAGATGTATATAAACTAATTTATAATAAACTTACGGTGCAACCATCACTGAAGCACCAACAAAATCGTTTACAGTCTTAGCTGCAAATTGAACAATCAGTGGCTCATCTCCTTTGTACGTAGTAAATTCATTATCCCTAGCTTTTGAAGATTGCACAAATGAGTCTGCTAAAATCATGGGTGTAAAGCATATATCACATCCATATCGTCTCACAAGTGTTCTGAACTGTAGCCTAATAAAAAGCAAGAAGTTAATATAACACAAGTGCAACTTAAAAGT